TTACTGATAACATGTTTTGTGTAGCCTGTTTATGAATAGAGAATGAGCGCTTGAGCATGTGACCATAAGAGTGTGATTTGATGTAAATGAGGGAGAGTGAGAACTCTAGTGCTGTTGTATTTTTGTTTGACAGTAGGTTGATTGATTGATTGATTGATTGATTGATTGATTGATTGATTGATTGATTGATTGATTGATTGATTGATTGATTGATTGATTGATTGATTGATTGATTGATTGATTGATTGATTGATTGATTGATTGATTGATTGATTGATTGATTGATTGATTGATTGATGTTTTCAATGTAACCCAAGTTTATCATCCAGTCAAATCAGTTTTCTTTCATTCCATGAGAACCAGCGTTTGCGTTTTTTGATTTATTTACGTATATTTTAAATGTTTTTTTTTAATGTCGATATTTTATGTTCAGATGAAAGACTGACAGAAACAGATAGAACCCTTTCTGAAATGAAGGTAAGGATTTCATCATCATAGTTCTCATTATGTGCACATGCTTGGAATATTAAACCACACACACTTTTTTCATTTCTCATTTATTGAATCATGTTACAATGTACACTTATTTATTAACAACCTATTTATTTATCTGTTGTTTAAAGTATTTCCTTTTTTTCATAAGTTTGCTGGCAGTAAGCATGCATGTATGTGTGTATATATGTATGTATGTATGTATGTATGTATGTATGTATGTATGTATGTATGTATGTATGTATGTATGTATGTATGTATGCATGTATGTATGTATGTATACATGTATGCATGTATGTATGTATTAATACATCCATATTTTATTTTTATTTAAGTTTTTTTCATAAAACATGCATCACTATATTGTTTCACAAAATTACACTCTTACTTTATTTTGTTCATCCATGTGTTTGTTCCTCTCATTGAACTTAATTTCAGTTTAGTGCTTTTCTCTCTACTGCTGTCACAGCTTCTTATATTGATAATGTTAATTTTGTATCCTTTTACTATTTCTACTACCAGCTAGTATTTATTACTACTACTACAATATATTCAGCAATGAACTGATTTTTTTTTATTTATTCATTTACTGATTGTTTGCCTAATAAATTGATTTATTGATTGATTTACTGATTGACTGACTGACTGACTGACTGATTGGTTGATTGGTTGATTGATTGATTGATTGATTGATTGATTGATTGATTGATTGATTGATTGATTGATTGATTGATTGATTGATTGATTGATTGATTGATTGATTGATTGATTGATTGATTGAGCTAATTTTGCCAAATAGGTAGATGATATGACAATTGTTGAGGAGGCACACAAAGTTGATACATTGGAAATGCACGATGGCAATCAGCAGAATGCTCTCAAAGACATCCATGATATCGATGAGGAACAACGTGTCAACAACAGCAGCAGAGTTGTTAATGATGATGAGGAGGAAGAAGAAGATGATGACAGTAAAACTTCACCAATGCAAGATGCTCACTCACATAAAGATGATGACACGCAAAGACAACCTCACCTTGCAACCAATGACGACGATGAAGATGACGATGACGATTTTACAGACGCTCCAGAAGTTGGAGAAAATGATGACGATGATAACGATACCAATGATGAAGATTATTATGATAAGGATAAAGCAGCTGACGATTATAAAGATGCTGTGGTCACCAGCAGTCCAACACAGCAAAATGAGAAGGACGATGTTTCTACTGATGTAACTGAACCTAGAGCTGAAGCAGTAATTGAAGATGCAGATGAGGAGGAAGATGATGACAATTTACTGGGAAAGCCTGTTGAAGGTTTTTATGCATACAAGTACTATTTGATAAAATGTGTCATACATTTTATAATTATTATCTTTTGTCTCATGAATTTTTATTTGTTTTAATATATTTTTTTCCACCATTCATACTTAAGTGATCTGTTTCATATTGCATAATCATTAATTACTTAATAGATAACTCTAGTACTTTTTACCTGAGTAATCAAGATGTGCATTTGTTTAATCACCGTTTTAAATGATACTAACCATAATGAAAGGAATTTCAAGTATTTTTTATGTGTCACGCCATATATCAATATTTACTACCATCGAATTGGTTACTAGCTTAGTTGTAGTTGATGTGTGTATAAATACTTCATTCACATGGAAACGTTTTTGATTATTAAAAGTTATTTCATCTGCCTGAGTCATTCATACAATGAATGTCTCATCAGTGAATCATTCATCTTAATGTTTTAGAAAGACTTTTGAAATTATGATTGTGTTGAACTACTAAAAAATTATTTCTAATTATAGGAAGAGTTGTTTGTTATTCAATTTATATTAATATTTTTTTAACTTTAGTTATATGTAAATGAATAATTGGTAATTTATCTAAAGTGTCTAATTTTGTTTGTCCTGCTTGCATCAATCCGCAACAACAAATTCGAAATAGCAATGTTTTTGAAGCTATTAAGGTAGAGAAAGTCACATCGTTTCAATATCTAGGGGATGTTTTGGATTGTACTGGAATGACAACCAAACTGGAACAATAACTTCACTGAATCGATATGAAAATGCTCCGATAGATGCAACAAATTAGTCTGAAGGACCACATCAAATCTACCGAAATCCTGCGTCGCGCTGGTTTAGATGATATAAAGGACGAATGCCGGCAACACCGTCTAAAGTGATTTAATCATGTCAAACGAAGTGGAAACAGTGCCATAACTTCTCTTGCAGATGTTAAAGTACCTGGCACACGTCCCAAAGGCCATCCAAAGAAGTCCTGGTCACAAACAATCGAGCAAGACATGAAAGTTCTAAATTTAAATGAAATGAATACAACTGATCGCTTAATTTGGCTCAAAAAATTGGTGGCAAAGAAAACAACTACTTACCTTGAGAGAACTGGGTCTTTGGACACTAAACGAAGATTGATTGATAGTTATATGTAAATATACTTTGTGACCTCAGAAAGGTTATTAATGTGTTTGGTAATTTTAGGAAATCGGGTTAATGATAATGATAATTATTTTCTCTTCTACAGCTTTTCTCTCTCTCTCTCCCTCTCTCTTTCTCTCTTTCTTTTTGTCTTTCTCATATGATAAAGTTTTTTAAATGTTTTCAATGAACAAACTTTCTGTGTTAGAAAACAATACTTATATTGAAACAATATGCGCATAGGAATGAGCAGAGGATTGATTTTGTTGGGTGACTGACTCATCATGTGTAAGATCTTAATGCAAGTGTTAATCATCTTATAATATTCAATGTCTTAAGAACATTTGTTTTTAAGACATTGCATACTGTTTCATAACTGTTTAGAAATACCACGTTACATACATTAAGTGAACTAGTTGAAAATAATTTTCAAATACAAAATTTATAATCGAGCAGCTCTCTAAATTTTCTAAACTTCACATTCAGTAACAGTACCTTCCTCAGATGATCAAGATCTAACTACAACATCAAACGAACCCAATGAGCTTAGTGAGACAACATCCCTCTCCTCACCATCACAAACAACATCTGTCACTACAACATCTGAAGCTACTACAACATCATCAACAGAAACAACGTCACCGACGTCGTCTCAACTAACGTCAAGTATTACAGGATCGGAGGATGGAGTGACATGCAATGACCCCACAGGAGGCAAGCGAGTGTACAGTCGGGACTTTCTTATGGGACTCAGGGATCATCCTGAGTCCCAGAAGAAACTTCCGCTTCTCTCTCCAGACCTCACTGACATCATCAGGACATCTCCACTCAGAGTAAGCATCTTTTACAACAGTTATTAATTAGCACAGAATAGAATCAAATTAGTTGCACATTCAAATTAGCAATTTGATATCAGTTGTTAATGTTTCATGCACATCTACATCAGCAAGTTTCAGCTTTTTTATGCTGAAATTTATGCTGGGCCATCTTGAAATTTGATACATTATTAGCATTGACAAACCTTATCAGATAAATAATTCCATTGGTGAAATATTTTATTGGTGAAATAGTATTCGCAAAATTCTTACTGGCAAACTTTCAAACTCAAACTATTACCTATTTTTGTCATTGTGTATCCAAAATTTTGCTCAGTGTTAACATTCACCATCCCATTTATTGATGGGATTGGTTAAATCACATCTGCTTTTTATGTCTGTAAACCAATGAAACCGCCTCAATAACCTTAGGTTTTCTTGGCATTTTAATTTATTTTCATTTCACAATTTACAATTCACATTCACAATTTACCAGAGGGATTCTTCACTTGGTAACATCTCCGGTTCCTCATCATCCCTCTTGATGTTGATGGGAGGCATCAGGGGAATGCCGCAGATGGGGATGTTCGTTCCTGACTATAACCAAACCATCTTTGGAAAGTCAGGATCACAACCGAACAGACCCGCCAATAGGTGGGTGCGCACTTTTATTTCTTTATTATTTTGTTTGATTTAAAATTCTGTTGTAGATTTCATTTCATCTCGTATTGATCATTCAAAATATTTTAATGATTCATACTCTAAAATACTACTTCTAAAATTGTGCAACTTCTCCAACTATTACTTCCTTAGTACAACTTTGTTACTATTGAAATGTAACCGCAAATGATGTGGTGATGATGTGATCTTGGTTGAATAGGTCGAGTCAGAAACGAGACTACCAGCAGGGCTCGCAACAGCGCATCATCAACGTGCAACTGTCCAGTGACGTACAACTGCACACTACTGAACAGGCCTGGAAACCTTCCATGAAGGCATCTGGCGATGAATACAATGAGAATGCTGTCACTGAGGTCAGTTGCATGGAATGGATGGTTAGATGTGGCATGTGTTTATAATTATGGTAGTGATGGCCTGTTGTTGTCATGCTATCGATAAATTATTGAATTTTGTATGGATTATATGGTTTATTGATAAATTTAATATTGTTCTTAAATTTTATCTTAGAATTTATTCCTAATAAATTTTACAGTTGTTAACTGTTATTTGTAATTAATTGATCAAATCAGAATCTGTATAAGAAAGTGAGGAGCATACTGAACAAACTGACCCCTCAAAATTTTGAGGCTCTCCTGAAACAAATACACGAACTGGAGATCAATACAGAGGATAAACTATCTGGATGCATTAAAATTGTCTTTGAAAAGGTTGCCTGCCTTTTTATTTATCGTCTTGTTTTTTATTCTCCATTGTTTATTTTGTATGTTTAAATTGTTATTCAATATTAGCAATTTTTTTCCTAATTAAATAATCTATCAATTAACTTAATCTAATAATTCTCATTAACAACTAAGGCCATATCTGAGCCGAATTTTTGTGAAGCCTACGCCAAGATGGCATGCAATATATCAACGGTTTGTATACAGTTCTTCATACCATCAATTTTATTGTTATTGGTTCAAAGGTCAATGTGCATATTCTTATATGCACATACAATACATGCAGTTGAAAGTGCCATGCAAGGACAATCCACACGATGCTTTATCTTTCAGAAGACTTCTGCTCAACAGATGCCAGACGGAGTTTGAGAAGGATCGGTCAGATGAGATTGAACTGGAGAAGAGGCAGAAAGAGATTGAAGAGTGCCAGCAGGTTTATTTGTTGTTGCTGTTGTTATTTTTGTTGCTTTTCTGATGATGTATATAATTGGCTTCTCTGTCTTATATTTAGACATGGCATTTTTGTTATTGTCCAACTTATAAATACAAATGTATCATCAATTAACTAAATATGCTCCACATTAGTATTTGCGTGTATCCATGAGTTAGCATGAGCAATTTGAGATGAATATAATTTGATTAATATGAAAATTGCAGCTGTGCTAAAATAGATAACACGATCACTATTATTGCATATATTATTTCACTTGAATTACAAATGAAGGATGATAAGAGGAAGCAGTTGATCTTGGAGAAGGAAGAAATGGTGACAAAAGCAAGGAGAAGGTCTCTGGGAAATATAAGGTCTGACAATGTTTGATCATGTTGGTGATGTTGTTACGTTGTTGTATTGTATAATTTTTTTGTAACATTTGCAATCTCACATTTAACACTCATGATACGCTCAAGCCTATGCATTAACATTCGATCTAATTTGTGAGTATAATCTCAGATCTAATGGCATCTCATAACACGTCAAACAACGGCAGGTTCATAGGCGAATTATTCAAGATGAAGATGCTGACGGAAAAGATAATGTTTGAATGCCTGACCAAACTGATCAAAGCCACAGACGAGGACAGCATTGAGTGTCTTTGCTGGCTTCTCAGGACCATTGGAAAAGACCTTGATTCTGATAGGAATAAGAAACATCTCGATGCTTTCTTCTCTGAAATTGTTAAGAAGTCAAAGAGCAAAGGTGTGTCACCCAGGACCAAGTTCATGCTACAAGATATAATTGAGCTCAGATCTGTTAGTATTTTTTTGCCGCAGCATCCTACTTCTGTTTGAACTGTGCTGACTTGTTTTATGATGTTTGTTAGGGAAAGTTGGTAAATCTAACTGTTGCTCAAAAAGATTTGTTATTTTTTCACCAATGCAAACGTTTTTGTTTACAGTGCAGTTTCATGCTACCATTCTTATTTTGTACGTTTATTTACTTTACTTTAATTCTTACTCCAAGCATGGTTATGATTTTGCAACCATAGAACAACTGGGTGCCTCGAAGAAATGAATTCAACCCAAAGACCATTGCACAGATCCACAAGGAAGCACAACAGGAAGAATTGCAGAAGCAGGCCATGATCAATCAGTCACCTTTACTAATCAACAACTACCAGCCGCCATCGCAGCAACAACAACCAACGCAAATGATGACAAAGATCGGCACCGATCCATCAATGGCTATGCATGGGATGAGAGGACGTGCCTTCAACCAGGGAGTTGGTGGATCGGGTAGGATGCAGATGGTTGAGGATGGTGGCTGGACGACGTTCAACAACAACAGAGGCGGTGCCAGAGTGCTGAACGAAAAAGTGCCGCTCGATCATTCCAAACTGATGTTCAGTCGACAGAATGAGGGCGAAATTAAGTTGGGACCATGTAAAGTGGCTACTTGGACATCTGGTGCTGCTGCTACTGGTATTGGCTTATCTGGCAGTAGACAATCTTCTCAGGAATCTGAAAAAACGAATGCCTCAAACAGGTTGGCTTATTTTTTGGTTTTGTCATAATTTAGTTAGATGTTTAAAATATTTCAGAATGCCTGCCATTCTCTTTTATTACAATCATCAGAATTATATGCTTTCCATTGCAATGATTATCTAAATTTGACAAATGTGCAAGTGAAATAAAGTGTACTTTATTGTAGTGCAAAAACATTAATCTTATCTCTATTTGCAGATTGGTAGGAAGCACAGTTGGTGGTGATTCGTATGATAGCAGGTTGGGCAGGCCTCCTCCCACCGGACGAAGGGAATCAACTGGAATGACCTTCCGGTCACAAAATCCATTCCCAAGACCAGACCACTACTCCACATTGCCATCAAGGTGTGTTTTAAATCAACTCCATTGCTCAGATTTAAGTTAATTTGCTATTCAAACCAATTCAATTTATCGCAGTTCATTTAAGAGTAACAAAGTTTCTATTCATTCAAGTCAAATTAATTCCTTACATTTGTTTCATGATATCCAGTAAATCCAGATACGACAACCGACCATCACCCGCCAACAGCCTATCAAGAGATGCCAGTCGAGAGTCTAGCCTCAGTAGGGAACAAATGAATCGGGCATCACCAGTCCTCAATTTTCACCCATATCACCAACATTCAGCACTTGTAAATAAACCACAGCCATCATCGTCGCCCTCTTTGTCCTCGCTAGCTGCTCCATCCATGCCACCAGCACCACCACCTCCAGTAAAAGAAGCAACCAATCACCTCACTGATGAGATATTCAACCAGAAATCAAAAGGAATTCTGGATGAGTACCTCTACATTAAAGACAAAAAAGTCTGTAGTCTGTTGGCTCTTTTTGTTTGTTCATAGTTTTGCAAGAGTGTTTGCTGGCTGTTCTGTTATTCCTGATGGTGTGCATTTTCGTTTGATAGCTTGAAGAGTCCTAGTTTTAACTTTATGATGAAGCAGTTTTATTGATCTGTTGCTGCTGGCTGTGGTATTGTTGTCTTTAAGTAGAGATCTGCAAAAAAATGTTTGACTCTCAGTGTGAAGGAAATAACTAACACGTTTCAAAAGTTTCAATATAAAAATGTGGAAAAAATTAAATATATAACGTAATTTTTTATAAATTTCAAAAAAATATAGTCTCTAGTTATATTGAGATGCTCTCTTGATTTGCATTGACAGGAGGCATTATTAAGCGTGCAGGACATGCGTCTGGACTCAAGGTCGAGTGCAACTTTTGTATATACAATTATCACCCACGCCCTCGAGAAATCAACCGAAGAGTGCAATCTGACGGGAGAGTTGTTAGGACATTTGAACACGAGTTCTGTACTACAATTCAGCTCCATCAAAAATGGGTTGGTTTCTTATTTTTAATTGGTTGGTTCTTAGCTGGTTATTTTTAGTTTAATTAATTTCTTTCATAAAAAATCAAACACATTTAAATTTTAGCTTATTAACTATAATCATCAATCATTCTAAAATCATCAATTAGCAATCATTCTAAAAAATTGTTATCCTTTGCAGCCTTGAACAAGCCCTTTCAGACGCCCCTGACCTTGAGATTGATATACCTCGTATCTGGACCTGCTACTCGGACCTCATCTCCTCCATGCTTCTTCAGTCATACGACTTGCTACCTCACGTAGCCGAAGTTGTTGAGCTGAAGTTGAAAATGCACAACAGGGCAGGCCCTCTCATGGCAGAATCAATCTCCAAAGTCACCAAAAAGCAGGTGGGGCATTAGTGCATTTGATCACGTGAGATTATGAGTAGTCACGTGCGATGATTAGTGATCACCTGTGGTGATTAGTGATCACCTGTGGTGATTAGTGATGACGTAACAGTTCTCTTTGTTTCGCGACTGATAGAAGGTGCTATATTTGTTAATGCCTGTGTATATGGGTGATATATTGCTGAGTGTTGTTACTCTAATGATTATAATGGTATTAAGATAATGATAAGAGCATTAGTGATAGCAAATAAGAAATAACGTGTTAGTATTAAAATGATGTAGTGGGTTGAACGGTAAGTAATTAATTAGTAATTATACACCCTGCATACTCATGCGGAAGTTGTCCTTTATTTACTCAACTACTACCAGATGTTTCAACAATATCATATAATCATTCCACAACAATCATTCTTCTGAATATGTACGTGTATTTAATTAGTTAATTTATTTATTTATTCCTATAAATTTCAATCACCTAATTTGCTGGCAAACCTGGATCTTGGATAAATAAATCTTTCGTTCGAATTTTTGAATATGTAAATGATAATACCTGTTAAATGTTCTGAAAGGATGCATATACGTAATAGAACCTACAGATTTATAGGGAGAGAGAGGAAGTGTGAGTGTGTGTGTGTGTGTGTGTGTGTGAGTGTGCGTGTGTGTGTGAGGGTGTTTACGAGTGTGAATGGGCTTGCTGGGATTGATTTGAAATTACTGTGCTGTATTGTATATTGATGCGTTGAGAACTTAGGTTGTGATTTAGTGATGAGGTTGGTCTTTATTTTATACGCCTCAGGAATATTTTAAGTGTTGTCATTAGCACTTGAACCCTATATATCTAATTTTCTTTGTCTTTGCTGTTTTCAAAACTTTCATCTCTTAGGTTAATTTGTTCTTACGTACTGTCTTATTTATCACACGTTATTGCAAACTGTTTTTTATACATAATATATGTTATAATGCTCAAATTCTAATTGCTGTGCTCTAGTGTAACCTGTTATTATTTATTTAAAAAATTGATTTCGTGAAAATGAATAGACCGTTATTTCAAGATTAATTAATGCTAGCACGTTTTATGTTTGTATTTTAATTGTTACAATTTCCTTAACTATATGCTATCAATCATGGAATTTCAACTTCGATTTATTATAAAATGTCTCTTATTTTTTTTTATTTACTACAATTATTAGAATGATTTATAATAATATTTTTGATTGCATTATTAACTCAACCCATTATCATTACTACTATGTTTCAGTTTGATTCTTACTGGATGACGTTGATTAGCATTGTTCATTTATTCATATTGAATATATATTGGATAGAAACTCTGATATAATACTTTCAATTGAAAAAATAACACGTTGGAGTTTTTTTTTCTATGAAATAGAGATGTGGATGTAGTTGTTTGTTTGTTCTTCTTGTTCAGCTCGTGTTCATTCACTCAAAAAGACATTCAAAAAATCACATCAAACGTTTAGGATTTCGTTTATACCACAGCTTTATAACAGCCTTATTATATATATATATATATATATACTCAAAAATTTCATTCACAATGTAAAATTCTTAATTGTTTTTATACGTAGAAATAAAAAGTGCTTGTTGCATGTTAATTTCAAAAGCAGATATCGTAATGTTTTAAACATCTTGAAAAGTGAAAGTTCAGCTATATATTTTTAATTAATGATTGGTTACTAAACTAATGGACAAAGTGAAGATAAATTGATTTGACGATTCATTACACTGAAAAACATTGTCCGTACATTTGTGTTCAATGAGTGGGCTGCGTCAAATTATGTAGAAACGTTTTATCGTGGCTTTTTTTAAACCATTAAAACATTCAATATCTCAAAATTTTTAAAAGACTTGGGATCGATCGTTTTGTTTATGTGCATGCTGCTTGCTATTGATTGACTAACCAATAATCACACCAACACAAAATAAGGCTTACACGAATTCACGAAATGATGTGCGTATTTGAGGTTTTGGGTTTTAAAAATTCTGAGTTTGTTTCATTAACTAACAAAACTATTGCTCATTTTCTTCATTTGAAATGATTATGCCTACATTTCAAACAAGTGTCTCAACAACGATTGACAACAATACATGCAAATATATAGAAATAGGATAAACGTAATTTGGAAAATATATTAATATGACATAACAATTTAACGAACAAACAACAATCTTGTTTAATTAATATCAAGTTAATCATTTAAAATTTCTTTCTTTTCAATTGTACTTAAGATGTCCACACACTCACACACACACACACACATATATATATATATATATAAAGTAATATATACGTGTAAACTATTGTATATGTAAACGTATAACTATGTATTTATTTATATATGTAATTATTGATGAAATTGCGGTAGCTTCCTGTTTAATATTTCTAACGCTAGATCGTAAATTATTGTCAAATTTTTCGTATTAACAATCGTTTACGATCTACCGTTAGAAAAATTAAAAAATTAAACATGAAGCTAACCAACGCGGACATTCTGTCATTTTCATCAAAAATTGCATTTCTGACAGTCTGAATTCAGTATTTGTTGATGTGTGTATGTACGTCTGGGATATGTGCAGGCCGGCAAACACTGGTCTTGATTTTGTTTTTAACGTTCAGCAAGTTCTTCAAATCCTCTGGTTCCAAGTCATCGTAGCTAAGACGATATGCGACAAATAAGCGTATGAATCAATGAAAGTGTTATAACATTATAAAGTGTGTATGTACGTTAAAATTGCTTACATAAATTTAACGGTTTTCGTAATAATTTACAGGCTAACAATAAGATAATAACCGCTTGGAACGAACGTGAACTGAGTTGGTGTCGGTTGACGGACCAACCCCTCTATGAGTTCACCGTACAAAATGTTGGTCTATGTTTCCTCAATTCATGTTGTTTAAGTGTAGCGGCAAGTTTTGGCTTGTGCGTATGTATTCAGTGCTTTTAGTTTATTTCTTTCACCCAAATTATTTCCCGCAACTGTAATCTTCTATGTTAAAAATCGAAACATTGTGCCCGTTAACAAGATGTTTTGACAATCTTTTGTTACATTCAAATATAATGTAAAATGATGACAAGCCAGTACTTGAGCACGCTACATATGCATATTAACCATTAAACTTATATTTTGTTGAATTAAACGTCGTTCCATGAGAATAATCGCTCCATCATTCAATCACCTAGAAATTGGAATCGTTAGATGTGATATCAAGTGAGTTGCTCTTGCTGATGAGGAGGAACTCCGCACATAGCGTCTTCTTCTCATGGATCAAAGTCAGTTGATGACTGGTGGTGAAGCATTTAAACACATACTTCTCATATTTTATGTACTATCCGACAGCTTTCATTTAAATTTTGTTTTAAGTCACTGTGAACGTCTGTGTAAATGTGCGAGTTCGTTATTAGAAAAAGTAATTGATACCGTTAGCTCAGTCGTTACATGAGGGTAGTATTTGAAGTGACCATGATTGAGAACGCAAGCGAAGTCGATTTATGATTGTGGTAAACAACCCGCGAAATAGTGAAATATGATAGATCCAAAACTGCTCTTCACGCTTTCCTATCCATGTCAGCACAATGCATTCGCGCAATTCATCATTTTCAGTCAAAATCAATCGATTGACTTGATGTAGCGACTTTTTTAAAGCCTTCGATGAATCATTAAACTTTACGTTTTTTAGCAATCTTTGAAAATATTTCTTTGCTTATTCGTTTATTGTGTTCACATTTGAAAGTGTATGTTTAAAGTAATTTAATTTAAATGTATGTTTAACGATGCACCTACACTGAACCACACATACATATATAAAAACACGAATACACTCACAGAAACACATAGAACCGAACCAGTACACTCCTCTCTTCATTCGATCGCTGACCAACGCCATCTGCATATATTCTCTTCATGGTTTGGAAGTTTTCAGAAATTTTACTTTTTACATAATTTATATAAAACGATGGTAATTGACATTTGTCACTGCTTTCACTTATTCTTATCTAATTTTTTTGTGTTGTGCCTATTTGGTGTGCTCCAATCAAGGATATTCAAATTCACCATCATGATATAATGATAATACCGTAGATAGTATAACATAACATAAAGAAATAATGGGCGCGAAGAACATATGCCCATATCTAAATGAAATAAAATGTTATTATAACGTCCTTATATATGATGACTTTTCAAAAACAGAAATAAACACACACACATATATATATACTTTTAAATAAAATAAAGATGATATGTTGATATAAAACTACGAAGTTTCAGGCAAGGAGTACAACATACGCGTGGAGAACTTCAAGGAACAAGCCTACCTGCTGAGAAGATACATCGACATTAATAAGGAGGATAGGTCGAAAGACAACAGCGAGCTACAGGCTCTCTACGCCGTGCAGGCCTTCGTCTGCTCTCTTGAACATCCACCAAGTTTGATCTCCTGTTTCATATGCATTTTTCGTTTTATTCAAAATAGAAATTGCGACCTAGGTGTATTTTATCTATATCTTATATGTATATACATATTTATATATTTTATCTATATCTCACCAATATCTGTCTATATATGTATCTTATCTATATGTTACCTATATCTATCTTTATATGTATCTTATCTATATCTTATTTTGTATATCTTCCTTGCATCGACACTCCTTTACTCAAACAACGGAATTGTTATGTGTTTTTATATTTTTACTATCATCTTCCCGACACACAAATGTACACACAGACAACCGATTATTCATTGCAATGTAGATCTGATCAACGCATACTTCCAAGCACTGTACGATCTGGATTTGATATCAGAAGATGCCTTCATAGAGTGGAGATCAAGCACAGATCCGCAGGAGCAGACAGGCAGGGGAGTCGCTATCACTTCACTCAGGCCTTTCTTCGAGTACCGTCTTTATATATTTTTACAATTTCACTATGTTGCGTTGTGGTATAGTGGTTAAGGTGCCTGCCATTGATGTTGCATTAACCTGGCTCTGATACAAAAAGAATTCGGTCTATTAACTTTTCATTTTCTTTTGATGTGATGTCTGCTAGTTGTTTGTTAATATCTCTGATACTGTGAAAAAATAAACGGATACTAATAGTAATAGAAATGACCAGATTAATAATAATAAATAATTATAAATAATAATAAATAAATAAATAATAATAATTTCTTTTTATTCAGATGGTTGCAAGCCCCAGAAGAGGAGAACAGTTAATAAATATGAACGATCAAACAACTTGTCTCATTCGTACAACAGTTACATTAATGTTATAATAATTATAATAATAATAAAAATAATAAATATTAATTAATTAATAATAATAATAATGGTAATGATGATGAAAATTAACATCAATTCCATGATAGGTTGATAATTGGAATGATAATGCAATTAGTCATATATACATATTTATAAATTGTATTGTATAGTGCTATGATGATGACGATGATGATGGATGGTGATGATGACGATGATAATAGAAATTGTAATAATAATTATTATTATTATAAATAATAATGACTATTAATAAGGTTAGGCATTTAACAAAAATAATTTACAATGTATGTGTTGATTAACAGTTCATTATATATATATATATATATATATATATATATATATATATATATATATATATATGTATATATATATAAACATATATGTATATATATATATATAAACATATATGTATATATATATATATATATATACATATATGTTTCACAGTTAGGTCGTTTCGATAATGGTGATGATGATGATAATGATAATGACGATGATGAACACAATTTAATGAACGAATGAACCATTCAATTACTTAATTTTAATCAATTAAATTTAATTAATTACTTTTAATTATCGTCTAATAAGTAATATTATCCAATATTCATTTCTATTTAATATTCTAATATCAAGCTGCAGCCTATTATTATTATTATTATCTTATTATTATTAAAATAAAACAGTTTACATTATTTGACATTATTATGTTATGTTTTAATTATTATTTTCATCGTACGTGTATATGAGAATGTGTAAAAAGTACGTATTTACATAAACATGGAATACATATTTCTTGTATTGTATTATAGATAAATAAACGAAGACACACACACAAATACATATATGGAAATATAAAATATATATATATATGTATATGTATATAGAAAGAGAGAGAGAGAGAGAAATAGAGACGCATTTTTTAGTAATTTATTTAACTTGTTTTTCTTATTAATTGCCCACTTTATGTTTAACAAGTTAGTCTTTAGTTTGTTTGGGTTGACTGTTTCGTTTAGTCGATAGATTGACCGATTAATTGATTGATTGGTTGATTGATTGGTTAATTGAATGGTCAATTAATTGATTGATTTTAGTTAATTGATTGATTGGTTATTCACGTGTGTCTTCGGTTGGTAGATTACTTCGTTAAAATTAATAATGTAGCTAGCTAACTAACGCCATTCTGGGTAGTTAGCTATTAACTGTTTGAATGAATACAATGTACATAATTTCAGAAGCTTTTATATTACACAACAATTACATTACATTAAAACATAACAAAACGTAAGAAAACACACAACAAAAACACTCAGCACAACTTGCCTGCGTTTTGTGTAGGCATAGGTGCGACAAATCATTCGTTAATCGACGAGTAGTGAGGTGTATGCATTTTTCATATTAAAACGCCAAATACTTCAATCGCCACTTCAGCTTGCTAAATATTTGTTTGTTTATACAGCTGTAGTTTTTTTGGTCATCATTTGAAATAATAACGATAATAATAATAAGTAATAATAATAATTATTATTATTGTGTTTTTTAATTAAAAATTTTGATAAGGAATAAGTGCTCTACATAGTTGTTAACACGCGAGTTTTTTCATTTATGTGTTTATAGGATGTTATTTCATGATTAATTTTTCTGTTTTTGTTGTTGTTAATATTATTATTATTCTTGTTATTATTATTTTATATTTGTATATATTTATTACTATTTTAATTATTTGTTATCGATAATAATAATAATAAAATTCGAAAGATCACAATTGAGTTTTTCTCTATTCTAGCAATTCTCCCTCCTTGCCCCCTTATAAGTATATGACATTTTAATGTATGCTTGGTTCTGCCTGATTAGTCGGTTGGCTGGTTAGTGGATTGGTCAGTTAGTTGGTTGATTGTTAAGTTAGTTGATTGGCGAGTTAGTTGATTTGTTGGTTGGTTGGAGATACGATCACAGTCTACGAATAATTCTTGACGTATTTTCTTATTTTCAAATCTTCCAAAGGGATTCTTTCAATTGTTAACTGAACTAACAGTTTTGTGTCCAATCAGTCACCAACGTTGAAAAAAATTATAGTTTTCAGGATGTTTATTTAATATCTAGGCAATTCAATTCATTTGACTTATTCATCATTTTAATGAAACTTGTTTCATCGCTAATAACTTTCAAAAAAAATGCCCAACATACACTAACATACATACCAACTGACACTCCAATTCATACGTACACTTTTGTATGTGTGTGTATTTATGTGTTTTGTGTACACCACATTACCCAATCCACCGCATGTTTTTACTTTCCGGTATGTTATGCAATGTAAAATTACATCATTACATTTTCTATGACATTTTAACGTATTGACTGTATGTATGTGTGTAACATTATCTTTTAATGTAATTTGCCTAATGTAATGTAATGTTATATTTTAATGTAACGTATGTAATGTAATGTGTGATGTTTGCTTGATGTCAAACTAATGATATATTGCTTACTCTGGTAACTTATGTTGGATCGATACAATTAATTTTTCAAAATGTATTTTTTATTATTATTAATTATTATTATTATTTATTATTATTATTATTATTACTTATTATGATTAAATTTTTCAATGAAATACTGTCGAACAAACGCTTCAACGTTATTGCATTATCATCATCGTCATCATCCGTATATATATATATATATATATATATATATATATATATATATATATATATATATATGCTCTATTATATTATATGTTTTTGTAGGTTTAGTAATTTTAACTTTGCTTATACTTAATGTTGCAGATAATAATAATAATAATAATTATTATTTATTTCTTTATTATGATTATTTTTATTTTTGCTGGATCGTAACTTTTCATTTTCAATACTGTCCACCGCTTTTATTTATCATCTACCGCATTATTTAAGATATGTGGAGATCCAATGGTTACGTCATAAGTGACGTAGTCACTGCTATATTAATAATAATTACTATTATTATTATTATCATTTCCATTATTATTATTGTTATTATCATTATTATTAATTATTATTATTATTATTATTGGTTTCATCATTATTAAAGTTATTATCGTTATATTTTTGGATTCTAATTATTACTTTATTTTCTTTTCATTAATTTCACTGCTATATATATCGTTATGAAGAATATTATTATGACTATTATTATTATTATCATCGTCATTATTATTATTATTATTATTATTATTATTATTATTATTATTATTATTATTATTATTACTACTATATTTTAAATCCAGTAGAAATTTTAGTATCAGCAGCTATTTTTAATTATCGCTATTGTCGCTACTTTCTTACTTAATTACATAATTAATTAATTAATTTTTTACATAATTATATACTTAATTACCTAATAACCTGATTACTTAATTAATTTATTTATTAATTTATTACTATCTTTGCTGATGTTTCATTATTTTTTTAAATAATAATAATTAATA